CTAATCTCGGAGCCCGGATTCATCGATGACTCTGTGTTCCACAATCTTGGCCATGGTACCACGTGGCCTACACAGTAGATACTCCTTAACTTTTAGAATTTTTTTTTTTTAATTTATTTGACAGACAGAGATCACAAGGAGGCAGAGAGGTAGGCAGAGAGAGAGGAAGGGAAGCAGACTCCCTGCTGAGCAGAGAGCCCGACTCGGGGCTCGATCCCAGGACCCCGGGACCATGACACGAGCCGAAGGCAGAGGCTCTAACCCACTGAGCCACCCAGGCGCCCCGATACTCCTTTACTTTTGAGTGAAGCTTCTGTCAGGACCCTGTCGTGGACTTAGACCCAAGAGCACCCAGGTTTGGACACACTACCCGTCTCCTGAGAAGCCCCGTAGTGCTTAGCTGTTGTCAGAGTGAGGCTGTGTAACAAACCACTCCTAGACCCCGTGGCTTAAAGTAACAGTCACGTCATCCTAAGGACCTACAGGTTATGGGCGGCTGGGCTTCCTGCTGTGGTGGCTGGAGGCCAGGCAAGGTGAGTGGGCCTGGGTTGGGTGAGTGAATTGCTCGGTAGGCTGAGCTCCTTGCTCAGATCCCTTCCATCTGAGTTAATTCTGAGACTCAGCTTGGTTGTGGCGGTGGGGGGGCGGGGGGCAGCTGTTTGGGGGAAGCTCTTCTTGCAGCAATGGCAGAAATGCGAACGGACGTGCCTGGGGGCACACACACATGGCATGTACCCTTGTTTGTGCTGTGTCTGATACCATCCCATTGTCTGAAGCAAGGCCCTTGGTTGAGTCTGTGGTCAAAGGGCAGGACTGCAAAGTCCTACAGCAAAGACATGTATGTGGTGGTGGAGACGGGTCGATGCGGGTGCTCTCACCCACCACACTTGCCCACACCTCATACCTGTCTACACAGCGTGCCTATCAAGGAACCTGTGTATGGTTCACGGGCAGTTTATGCAGGGACTATAATAAAAATTACAAGAGAATTGTGTGTATACTGTAAAAATACAAGAGTTTATAGTCTAGTGGGAAAGGTAGTAAAAAAAAAATGAAAACAACTGCAAAAAGGAATATTAGAATTTATTTAATTGACTCTGGGCCTCAAGAATGTGGGCACATTATAATTCTCTTCGGACAGATTCAGCATCTTTCCATCATTTTGTTTTTGTTTTTAAAGATGTTTCCCTGTTCTCTGAAGTTTCTCTAGCTGACCGAATTAGAAATCACTGTCTTGGGGCACCAGGGTGCCTCAGTCATATGGGCATCTGACTCTCGGTTTCAGCTTGGGTCCTGATCTCATGGCTCATAGGATTCAACCCCTCATTGAGTTTCATGCTCAGTGGGAGTCCTCTTGGGTATTCTTTCCTTCTGCCCCCACCCCTGCTTATTTACAAATAAATAAATCTTAAAATAAAGACATCACTATCACATCCTTTAAAAAAAAAAGATTTTATTTATTTATTTGAGGGACAGAGCATGAGGGGGAGGGGATGAAGGAGTAGGAGAAGCAGAGTTCTGAGAACTTGGGTAGTAGCCTTCGTTCTGTGGATAACTGGTAATGCCGCTTTCCTAACCCTTAGCGTCTAAGGAAAACCTTGAGATTGATTAAGATCCTAAGAAAACAGTCTGAGGCACAGCAGTGCCATCTCTCCATCTCCAACGGATTCTCTGGTAGTCCTGGAAACTTTTAGAAGAGCCAACCTCGGTGGCCTTGAGTTTCTTTCCCCATGACCTTGGTTGTCCCTGGTTCTGTTCTCTAGGCTGCCACCTTGTGGAGCTTTTGGGATATGCATGTTCAATGGAGAGCCCTGTAGATTGATCTAATTGATCTGCCAGATGCTTTCCCTGAGAATCAGGGGTAGGGGGTAGGAAAGAATTCTCCTCACCCAAGTGACACTCATTACAAAGCGACCTTCCTCTTTCATTTTTCCTATAGTTACCCCTTAAGGACAATATTGGCAGAGGGACATTTGAATGGCCCAGCCATCACATCTGGAGAACCCTCTGCCCCTTCCCTTGAGACCTTGAGCCAGGATCCCAGGATGAGATACAGTTGCCTGACTGTCTCTAGTAGCGCCTCTCCAGTCCTCCAGAGGTTACTTTTTCCCTTTTCTTAATTACAAAGGTAGTACATGGTTCACTAGGCTTATAGTCCAGTGGAAGAGACAGATTTTAAAAAGTAAACAAAACCAATATTTACACATTCTGGTAAGTGCTATGAAATGGAGTGGAATGGTGGGATGGGGGTGTGGTCAGGGAGCTTTTATTAGGTTGGTAAAGGCAGGCTTGCCTGAACAAGAGAACTTTCAGATCAAAACCTGAAGGATGAGAAGGATCCAGCCATTAAAAGAGTGAAGAAGATCATATGCAAAAGTACTGAGGTGGGAAAGAGTTTATTAAGTTGAAAATAACTGTGTGTGTCTAGATTGCAGTGAGCTAGAGGGGAGTGGTCAGAGTGGGGCTGGAAAGGAGAGCAAGTGGAGATACCACAGGGTCCTGTGGTGCATGGTAAGGATTCTGATTTCATTCTGAGTCCAGTGAGAAGAAAGGATACTTTTTAAAAAAGATTTTATTTATTTATTTGAGAGAGACAGAGAGAACACGAGTAAGGGGAGGGGCAGAGAGAGAGGCAGAAGCAGACTCCCCACTGAGCAGGGAGTCCCATGATGATGACACAGGGCTCGATCCCAGGACCCCGGGATCACAACCTGAACCAAAGACAGACACTTAACTGATGGTGCCACCCAGGTGCCGCAAGAAAGAATTCTTAATCAGGGAAGTGATGAGGCCCATTTTCTATTTTAAGTAGGTCATCTTCTCTGCTGCATGCAGAATGGATCAAAGTGAACAGGAAGGGAAGTTGGGAGACCAGTTGGGAACCTGGTGCCGGAAGCTGGGTGAGGAGCAACAGTAACCTAGACCCAGGGGGTGGCCATAAAGATGGAAGGATCTAGACCCATGCTGTTGAATATGGTAGCCACCAGCCATATGCAGCTACTGAGCACTTGAAATGCATGAGTGTAAAAATACCTACCAGATTTTGAGGGCTTGGTACAAAACAACTCACAAAGTGTCTCATTAAGAATTTGCTTAGCTTCCTTACATATTGACATAATCATATTTTGGACATTTCATGATGCATAAAATAGAATATAAAAAATTTCACCTACTTCTTGCTTTAAAAAATGGGGCTGCTAGAAAAATTTAAATTATGTATGTGGCTTGTATCATAGCTCACATTTTTTTTTTTTGAACACTGCTGATATGGACAAAAGTTACTGAATTTAAAAAATATTTTTCGGGGCACCTGGGTGGCTCAGTGGGTTAAGCCGCTGCCTTTGGCTCAGGTCATGATCTCAGGGTCCTGGGATTGAGTCCCACATCGGGCTCTCTGCTCGGCAGGGAGCCTGCTTCTCTCTCTCTCTCTCTCTCTGCCTGCCTCTCTGTCTACTTGTGATCTCTGTCAAATCAATAAATAAAATCTTTAAAAAAAAATATTTTTCTAGCAAATTTACATTGGATACATTAGAAATTTCTACCTAGGTATAAATTTCCTCCTTCTGGCTCACTGAATGTATTTATTTGATGTAACAAAACAATACAGTTATTGTTCGATTCCAACCACAAAGAACAAAAGCAATGAAAAATTTGCCAATGCACATTAAAAAACCCCAGGATGTTTAACACGACAAATATCTAGTCCTAAAATAATGTTCCTAAAATTCCTCAGTTATTGAAAACTATATAAAAACAGAAGGGATGGTTAACAGTGACAGAGACATAAAACCAAAGATCTAACTCTGAGCAACTTCGCTGACAAGGCATGATTTTTCTGCCTTGTTTACAATCTGCTCGAACTGTCTTTATACCAACAGAGTGGACAGAGCATTTAGGTTCATATCAGTTACACAACATTAGCATTAATTCGGACAACTACAGAGAGGGCATTGTTTTCCTTTGAGCTGCCCAAGCGAGAACAGAAACAGCAGATCATTTCTCTGAATTGAGGATTTCGTCCCCATAAATGCCACATGACTTCCAGACATATTTTTAGAATATATTTAATCATTTTTTAGGTAATATTTACAGATGAGTTGAACTTAAAAGGATGTCAGCTTACCGAGATTCTATTGTCTTTACAAAAACAATCTGAAGTCTGCACTGGGGGCTGCTTACCCCTCTTATTGACAGCATGTTGCGGGAGGCCCTTTAGGGTGTAACGAACGGGAAGAGCAGTGGCCTTTAAAGACTGAAGAGATTGGCTCGACTTCCGCATCCGTGATGTGTGGACTTGATCATGGTCTTGTATCTCTGAACCTCACGTCCGTCCTTGTAAAATGGAGATGGTGCTCGCTGCCATTTAACCCTCATCTTTAATCACCCCCACAAGATAGGCAGGAAACCGAATTTCAGAAAGGGTAAGGATTTACGAAGTTTACGTTGCTAGAAAGAGGTGAAGCCAGGACATGAACCCTGGTCTTTTTGGCTCCACAGTCAGCTGAAACCCCCCCCCCCCCTTTACGATGCCCCTTGCCAATTTCCCTGCCTACCTTTGAAACTCTCAGGAAGGTCAAATCGAATGAACGGGCTTTGGAGAAATGCCACACCGTGGGCATATGGAAGAGCTGATTAACGAAAGAGATGCAAACAGTCGGAGCATACTCTGAAGCTACACACACAGAACACCTACCGTAGGGTGTAGCTATGTCTGTTTAAACGAAGGGAATATCAGTGTTGTTTTCTCAGATTCATGCTTTGAACGTCACATCGCAGAGGGGTAATTTCCTTGCTCAGGATGAAAACTGACAGGGATTCAGAGGAAAATAGTTCAGTGGTCATACTAAAAACTCGGAGTCAGATGCACTTAGCATCATACCGTAAGTGGAGTTAGTCACAGCATAAACAAGCTTGGGGCCAGACGTGGCTTCCTTCAAGTAGGCTGGCCCATCGGGGGCGGCATTCATTCTGCAAGGAGCCGAGACAGGAACTAAGGCAGCATGGAGAAGATACTTGGACTCGTCATCTCCCTTATCTTACTGACTTGCTTCGCAGGTGAGCATTCACTCTGAAAATGGCTTATTACTCTGCTGACACGATAAACTGGAATAAGTCTATTTCATAGTAAAATTTCTTTTCATGTCAAAGAATATGTAATGTATAATAATTCAATGCTTGCCCCGCCAAGAGCAGGCTCCCAGAATTGCTATCATTAGAGGTAAATTATTTTTTCAGTCTTTAAATGTATTTGAATATTAATTCCTAGAAATGCTGATAAATCTTTAACTATACCATCTTTTATTTTTTTTTTAATATTTTATTTATTTATTTATTTATTTGAGAGAGAGACCACGAGAGGCGGGGAGTGGGAGAGGCAGAAGCAGACTCCCCACTGAGCAGGGAGCCTGATGTGGGACTTGATCCCAGGACCCTGGGATCATGACCTGAGCCAAAGGCAGACACTTGACCTTCTGAGCCACCCAGGCGCCCCAACGATACCATTGTTTTGAGTTCGTATGAGATCATCAAGACCTGACAGACTTTTATCGGATGATATCATTTGGCATTTATGTATGATTATTAAAACAATATTAACTTTATTATCATAATATCCTCTTTGAGGGGTCAAGTGTGATTATCAAGTTTAACACAATCTTATTCTCATGAAGAATTGCCCAATAACAGCTTTTAGTCGATTTAGTGTTTTGGGGATTTAAAGAAAAAAAAAAAGCAAACCTAAGGGACAAGAAACACATTGACCATAGAACTGAGGAAAATATGTTTTAAAAAACTTATCCAGGGGCAGTTGGCTGGCTCAGTTGGTAGAGCATGCGACTCTGGTCTTGGAGTCATGAGTTCGAGCTCCACGTAGGGTGTAGAGATGACTTAAAAAAGAAAGAAAAGGGGGAAAAATCCGATGTTCATGAAACTCGCTCCTATTTTTAAGAAACGCCCCCCTTGCCGTGGGTAAGTCTGTTCCAGCCGTGCAGCTTCTGCTCTGGGCTTCCCAAGTTAGAAACAAATCAGAATTCTTCCCGGAGCCCTCTGGAACGCGGCATCCTTTGGGACAGGTCCCTGTGAAAGAACTTTTGTGTTTGACCGTAATTGAACTTGCAAATCCTTGGTGTCGGCCTGTGAGCCAGGGCACGCGCGGGTGTGCCGAGATCCCTCAGGCCCCTTCCTGACTTTTTCAGGATCCTCCCCGATTCTGACGGAAAAGCAGGCCAAGCAGCTCCTCAGGTCCCGACGCCAAGACAGGCCCAGCAAACCCGGTTTCCCCGATGAGCCCATGAGGGTGAGTGCTGGCCTCCCGCTGCCTGAAGGGAAGGTGCCGTCATGTCCATGCTCCCCTGCATTCTGAAACTGAGCCGGGTGCTGGTGTCAGCTCAGGGCCAGCTGCTCCATGGAGGTTCTGCAGGGTCTCGGGTGGAAGGGGCTCTCAGCCTGTCGCCCGCACCTCCGGAGGGGCCAGCCCCACTCGCCTACTCTACACACAGTGTTTACAATGCACACAGTGGGGCTGACAGCCAGAGTCCCAGGATCTCCCATGTCACCCCTGAATGGGATGCTAGGGGCTGTGTGTTGTAGTTAGTGCCAACCGCATCTTCCCCAGCTTCCCCTGGGCATCGAGCAAGCCAGACCCACATCCTTAGCCGGCGGTACTCTGTCTGGACAGGCAGACTCCTTGCCCTGCTGCCTGTAGGGTTTTGCCCTCACCTTGCACCTCTGATTTTGGTCTTTAGCCCCAGGCCTGCCCTCTGGGTTTGTGGTGGCCATCTGCCTCATCTTTCTGAACCAGGACACTGCCCCTGCCTTTACTTTGTGACTTGTGGGTGCTATCAGACCCTGCTGGCCCTGGCCTGGCTTGTCCCCTGCCTCCCGCGGCAGGAGTACTGACATTCCTGGTATTTTTACCAGGATTAGTTCATTTAAAAGTCTCTTATTCAGATGTAGTATTAAAGAGGAAAAAAAGATGCAGCGTTGCAGAGTGGGAAGAGTGCTGGCCCTTGGTCAGACTGTGTGGGCATGGCTCCCCATTTTCTATCCTCCTGAATTTGGGCACCTTTCCTTGTGTTCCTGTGCCTCCTGTACTCTTGTCTATAAAATGGGGTAACAATAAATATTACTTACATTCCTACATAATATTATTGTTCTAAATAATAATACAAATAACTGCTTTATGAGGATAAAATAAAGGAATACCTAGTAAGACACTTAGAATAATACCCAGCATTATTGTAACTGTTACATTATTGTTACTGTTACATTGTTGTAAACAATAATGACTCCTTTGAGTATTAAGTACCAGGGACCAGGCAAGGTGCAGAGACTGGGAGCAGAAGTTACTGGAATTCTGCTCAGAGTTGGTGACAGACACAGAGAAGGTAGTGAATGGCTGTTACACCGAGTGGCTTAGAAATGAATTAGGGACATCAGGCTGTCAGGAGTGGACATGGCCTTTCTTTCTTGAAGTCAGATGTGGCTTGGACCATCTAAGCGCAGGGTAGAAGGGGACTGGGAGGACAGCAGATGCGAGATCAGAAAGGGCTGGAGTACCTTGGACTTCCTCTTATGTTCAGTGGAAGATGATGGGAGTTTTTAAATGGGGGAGTGCACACTGGAGCTTTAGACAGATGGTCTGAGATGTGATTAGAAGAGAAGAGGTCCAGGATTGAAGTCTGGGGATGCCGATGCTCAGAGGTGAGCAAAAGAGGAGGAACTCGAAGGGGCTGAGAAGGAATGTGGGGAGATACTGGGGAGACCAAGAGAGTGTGGAGAGCAGGATGTCTGGCTTCAGGCTCCCTGGGGGCTCTAACTGGCTCCTTGTGCTTTCTGCTTGATGTCTGGAGGGGCCGTTCCAGAGGTTCTTCCTCAGGGGCCCTAGGAGGCTGGGAGAAGCGAAGAAGCTGCTCCCCTCCAGGTGCTCAGGAGAGAGGATCTCAGGTGACAGAGGCATTTTCTCTGTCACCATCTGCCCCTTGCTCCTCTGAGCTCTGGCATCACGGGGACTGAAGAAGGCATCTTAAGCATCGGGCAACAGGTGAGTCCAGAGTGTTGCAGCAGATGGGGCTGGATCATGGCAGATCAGCTCCCTGCCTCTGGTGACCCTCGTGTGTCAGCCTCCATGCCATTCTAGACTTGTGTCCCCAACCATGGCTTGGTGTGGTTCTTCCCTGCCCAGAACTTCTGAGAGCTCCTTCTCTGACCATTTCCCTCCTCCTGGCCTCTAGTCACCACTGCCCTTCACCGGCGACAACCTTCGGCTTTTTTTTACTGAATGTCTGGCTTTTTGGGTTTTGTTCTATTTTTTGTTTTGTTTTTATTAACATAATGTATTACTTGCCCCAGGGGTACAGGTCTGTGAATCATCAGGCTTACACATTTCACAGCACTCACCATAGCACATACCCTCCCCAATGTCCGTAACCCAGCCACCCTATTCCTTTCCCCCCACCTCCCAGCAACCCTCAGTTTGTTTCGTGAGATTGTCTCTCTCCCGATCCCAGAGGATGCGGAGAAAGGGGAACCCTCCTACACAGTGCAGCCACTGTGGAGAACAGTATGGAGTTTCCTCAAAAAGTTGAAAATAGAGCTACCCTATGACCCAGCAATTACACTACTGGGTATTTACCCTAAAGATACAAATGTAGTGATCCGAAGGGGCATGTGCACCCGAATGTTTATAGCAGTGATGTCCACAATAGGCAAACTATGGAAAGAACCTAGATGTCCATCAACAGATGAATGGATAAAGAAGATATGGTATGTGTGTATATATATATATATATATATATATATATATATACAATGGAATACGATGCAGCCATCAAAAGAAATGCAATCTTGCCATTTGCAATGACGTAGATGGAACTAGAGGGTATTATGCTGAACGAAATAAGTCGATCAGAGAAAGATAATTATCATATGACCTCTCTGATTAAGGAATTTGAGAGGTAGGGCAGGGGTTTGGGGGGCAGGGAAGGTTTTGTTCTGTTTTTGATCATCTCATTATAGGCCGATCACCAATGACTTCTTTTACCTGCCTTGAATCGACCTTATCTGGCTTCTGTGTGATCCTGTCTTGCCTCTCTGAACCATTTCCCATCCATCCTGCATCCATCCCAGCCCTGCATGTCCCTCACTGAGACACGGACCCCAGTGTCCAGAACCCTCTACCACTCAGCCAAATTTGGAAAAGTGCTCATGTGACCTACAGTTGACATGGGAAATAAAGATGCAATAAGCTATTTGGCGGCTAGCCTCCCTCAGTAGCTCTCATCCAGGGGTGATTTTCTCCCCCATCCCCATGGACACCTGACAGTGTCTGGAGACGTTTTGGTTGTCACAACCATGGGGGGTGGGAGGAGGGAGGGTTTGCTATTAGCATCTAATTGAGTAAGGCCAGGAATGCTGCTGGACGTTCTCCAATGCACAGGGCAGCTCCCATATCAAAGAATGATCTTGCCTAAAATGTCCACAGTGCTAAGGGTGAGGAACCCCGGCTGCAAGTGCTGAACAACCTCTTTCTCTTTTATTCTGCGTGTCTCTTACACTATTGTTTACTATTATATTGTACTCTATTTTGTTCATTATATTACCTGCACACAGAACAGCTGAATCAACAAGCATTACTGGTATCACGTTTTTCTAGAAATGTGTTTCTTTTTTCTTTCTTTCTTTCTTTTTTTTTTTTTTTTAAAGATTTCATTTATTTATTTGACAGAGACAGAGAGAGAAGGAATACAAGCAGGGGGAGTGGGAGAGGGAGAGGGAGAAGCAGGCTTCCTGCTGAGCAGGGAGCCCGATGCAGGGCTCGATCCCAGGACCCCGGGATCATGACCTGAGCCAAAGGCAGACACTTAACAACTGCCCCTCTAGGAATGTGTTTCTTAACCTTGGCTGTGTGCTGGAACCAGCTGGAGAAGTTAAAAATCTGAGGCCCGTGTCCCGCTCCCAAGGGGGGGTGGCCTGGGGTGTGGCTTGGGGCACTGGGTGGGTGTCACAGCTGCCCAGGTGGTATCACCATGCAGCCGAAGCTGAGAACCCCCAGGGCCAGGCCTTCTGGGACAGACCTGCCAGCTGTCATACCCGCTCCCGTAGTCCAGTCGGGACCACGAACACTAAGAGCATGAAACGTTTAGGAAACAGTTCAAGGTTGAACTGAGTGGTATGGAGAGTAAATGCCCCAGTTTGCATTCAGCTCAGACAGCGAGAATGAGAGGGTCACGTGGTGCATGCCCAGAGCGCTCCTTGCTGACCCAGATGTACACTTCATTATGCTTTCCATTGACTGGGCCTTACCAGGTGCCGGGTACTGGGACGGAAAATGAACCAGATTTTCTTCCTTTGTTCCAGGGGCCTGTGTCTGTTGTGTGGGTACACACAGAGTCAGAGTGTTCTCTGATGCGGTTGCGGGGCGAGGATCCCTAGCTCTAACTGGAAGGAGGGAGGAGGCTGGGAAGGCTTCCCAGAGGAGGTGTTCACCCAGCTGAGGCTTGAAGGATGAGGAGTTTTCAGGCTGTGCAAGGCATGGAGGCGAGGCAGAAAGAATAGTCCCTCTGGGGTGATTTCAGTCCGTATCCTGCCACTACGTAGTCATGGACTTTGGGCTTTGGGCTCAGGATGAGTCGATTTCCTTTCTCTGGAGCCCTCAAGTGCAGAGAATTTGCTGAGAATCTGGCTAAGAGGTCTGTTCCTGGTCTTGTATTTTAGGGTTCTGGATAGAGCTTCGGGAGACGACACAGGTTTCCCAGTAGCCAGGCTGCAGCTCGAGGAGAAGCCTTGGGCAGCAGGACACGGGACACTGTGCAGGACACAGGGGCAGCAGGACACGGCCCCAGGCGAGGAGCCTGCGGGGGGGTGGGGTTTGCTTAGAGGCCCCTGAAGGGTTTCTTTAAACAGAGGCTCCCTCCCCTCATGCCGGTCCTGTTGCCCCTGTGTCCTGCATCCTAGACTTATATTTTGACCTCTCCCCCCATGTCGGGTCGGGTCTCCTTGTTGGCTCTTCCTTCTTATGGATTCGCTGAGAGCAAAATAAATACCAATCACCTGTCATGGAAAAGGAGCCATGTACTCATTCTCGCTGAGCGGCTGACATCACGGTGATCCTGGTCCTACGTCACTGAGCACTGGACACAGTGACCCCACATTTGTTCATGAGGAGGCCACAGGGTGGGACCTCTGGCCGTAGGGGAGGTCTCAGGGTGGTGGGTGGAACAGCCATACAGCCTACAGCCTGGGGACAGGCTGGCTTATTCCCTTTGATTTGTGGGCAACCGTACTTCCTTGCTCTCA